CATATTAAATGTTATATAATGAAAACAAAGTAGTGAGAAATTATTTTTCTTGAGGCGTTACAAACCTAAAGATTTTTTACGCTTAGTACGCTTTATTACTAAAACTTTTGAACAACGTTCATGAAGATAATCAGACCTAGACTCGCTTTAAATTCAATATTTATTATACGGTAAATTAAAATTCCTTAGTTGTTTTTATTTTCAAAAGTTGCTTAATGATGTAAATAATTATTTTTTGAAAGGTTTAAATGTGCATTTTTACTAATGTCTAAGGAGATCCCTTGCAGATATTCACGAGGAAGCCCGGAGCATTACTGTTTAAGTTTAGAAAAGGGATCTTCACCGCTATGAACGAAAGACAGGTTTAATATAAACAATTGAAGAAGAAAGAATTGTCATATTATAAAATCTTGAAAATAATTACTTTTCGAGACATTATTTGCTCGTTTCCTGTTAATATGGCAGATTTCGACAGCCACGGTAACTTTCAGCGGACAGAGAGGACCAAACATTAAGGCGACCCAATGAACATCGCAATGGTTGTTTCGAAAGTTTCGACAGTCGTTCTGTGGCCTTCCTCAAATGTTTGCGCTGGCTGTATTTCGTTGTCAGGAAACTTTTTAGTCAGCATAATGTAATATAGAACACTCAAAAAGCAAGAAAACGTACTTCGATTAAGTCAATGGGCATACTGCAAATCACTGGACATATTTGTAGTCTACATTGCGAGTACATATTAGGTAGGCAATCTGATTTTAAAAGTAATTTAAATTAACTCAAAATGTAATTACAATTTCATTTTAAAGTGAATGTACTTGCTATCTCTTTGCAATATTTAAGTCAAATCAATATTCATGTGTTAAACATTACAATTATTTCAAATGAACAGTGGCGTACCCACAGTGGGCTCATGGGATTTCAACCCCCCTTTCTCCGACGACGCACTCAAATTGTTTCTACTAATTTTCTATGGTAACATAAGTATTTCAATTTCATTTCAAAACTTTGTAAATAACTAAACCAACTAATAATATTTTATAAATTCTGTAAATGTAAATTTTTAAGAAAACATCACGTCTGACTCACTATATACACCTCCCCCCTCCCCGAAAAAATCGTGTTTGTGCCGTTGCAAATTAATTAATATCAAGAACAGTCTTAGCACATCTGGCTGTGGCGGCTTGTTTTGCGTGGAAGAAAAATTTTAATTATTCTGCTATTATTTAAAAAATCGAATTGACACTTTTCTAACGCAAAATTAATGTTAGCCATCTAAACTAATCTAGGGGTTGCAGAAGAGGAAGAGGCTCTTCTTGAAACACACTGAAAAATGGACGAAAGCAAGTCTCACAACCCAGGACATGGACAACGGAGAAACTGAGGCCCGCCGAATAGATTGTCCGACTTCTTGAGGTGAACTGATCAGGAGAGAATGCAGGTGTGTGTTAATAGATGTCCAAGCACATGCTTAGAGCCATCTCTGGAAACGGACCCCCTAATTATTTTTTAACAAAATTAAAAAATAATAATAAATAAAAAAATTCAACTGAATATGAAGAAGTTCGTTCAATTTTTTTTAGGTTGTTATGGTTACAATTAATTTCATAACAATTTTGCCTATATTAAATAAGAGGTTCATATTTTTGTACCCAAGATATCAATTCAGTGCTGACAATAGTCTGGAAGACGATTGGGATAACTTAGCATGCAAGTAAACAAATATTCCAAATACATTTGTTGGAACCGAGTGGTCTAAAACTTTTCGATTGCTACACGGAGAGGGCCTATACTTGATCTTTGAGGATTTCTGTTATCACCCATTTACGATAGTGTCAATACTTTTATCTCTACACACATCACATATCAAACGCCAACTATGGTCTCCTATACATTGAATGATTCGCTTACAAATCTGTCGGTTTTCGAAAGGTATACTTCCGTCAGCATTGTAAAAAATTGTATAATTAACATTTTCAACAAAAATGTTTGAAACTACTGCATTGCATCGAAAGCACTGATAATGAGTATTTCACTGAAAACATTCAATGGTCCGTGAACATAATGCAATTATGTCAACGTGCTCAGTAAGAATACTCCTGAAGGATACCGTGAAAGGATACCGGGTCCCCTTATCATTCAATCTTCATCGTTCTTGATCATTGATGAGTTTTTGAGCTAGTACTTCTAGCTCCATTCCATTGTTATATAAACAGCAGAGACCCTACTTTAAATTTATTTGTATTTATTTATTCGCCAAAAGAACAGCAAAATCTAAATGATGTATAGGGGAGAAGTATACTCGATACACTTTTTCATATTCCGCGTAATAGTCACCGATTTAGTATATCAGGAAAACAAATACAAGCTTTTTGAAATTGCTACTTTTGTCGTTTTATTACTATGCGTATAAATGAAAAATCGCGCTACTGTGCAACTAACGTTTAGTTATTAATTTGGTTAAAAACGCTTGCTTTATTATAGCATTAATTCGTGTCGTAAATTATCCTACCGTCGTCTTCAGATGTTTTTTTTATACCAACTGGTTTATGCTACTCAAGTTATCCGTAATTGCATACACCCAAAAGATACAAAAAAGTAATTGTTCATTGGTAAAGTTCATTCACCCAACAAAACAAACAAAAGTATTTACAACCTCATCGGTTTCTAGTCAACAGCTCGTTTAAAAATATCAATGCTGCAGAGTTAGAGTAAACTTATGTTGAACCATCTCTAAATAAATTATTTCAGACTAGGTGGTTATGGCTTCCAAGAAGAAATTATCAGTAATTAGCACCAATGAAAATAAAGCAATATACTGCCCTATAATTGTCAGCCTTATAAAAAGTTTGAAGGTTTTGCACAATTATTTAACATAATTGACCTTATGTTTATTTTTGTACTAACTCCCGCCATCCATAACATAACAAGGCAAGTTGCCAAAATTTGTCAGAATCCTCAAGGAAAGAGAAATCTCTGTTATGTAAGATAGGAAGTTACTTTTAGCACAAGAAATTCATACACTAAATTATTATACAATATACTTCCCCATCTAAAAATATCTATTATAAATAAAGTATCTAAGAATTTTCCCCCCACTTCTGATTCAATCACTGAATGAATTCAGTTTTTGTCTTTACATAATCCACAAAATTATATTAAAAATATTTCGGGCAGAATTTAGCAACACTTCAGCATGTTACAGTACGTATTAATTTTCCTTCACAAGGAAATAATTGTGATATGCTTACGTTTCAAAAGAGACAGTTATGACAGTTACGCAATGATTCGAATACTGCGTGGGTCCGACAAAGTCCAAAAACCATTCTGATAACCTTTTTTTTTAATTGATGGCGGAAGACGATCATTTACATACTACAATACATTAATATACACGACTTTTGATCCCACCTTGTAATTCTATGAGATAAACGTAGAAACTAATAGATTTATTCTTAATTACTAGGCGATTAAAATTCTCATTCATTGACATGGCAATGATTTTGATAGCAACATTTAAACCCATTTTGCTATGCATGACATTCCAGTATCAATATTTCTACGAATATTCAATTTCTACCAATTCAATGAATTATACGGCCTAATAAAATCACTTAATAGATTCTGAAATGTCAATGAAATTAGCCAAAAAATGTACATTTTCAAGAACATGTATTTGAATAATCAATATACACTACTATACTAACAATCCATTTGAAAATCAACTTTAAGATTTGGCGAACTTTCCTACGCAGGAATAGCAAGTTCTTCCGAATATGTACGGTATCCTGTGATTAATGTATAAGTATCTAACATACAACAAAGAGGCAATCCCAGACAAATCCAAATAACTGTGTGAGAACATGCAACTGGAAACAAAGGCGCTCGTCGATGTTGCGAAATAATCCGCAGGTTAGGGAAAATAAAAAGATGCCTCACGAGGAGATGCTCTTCGGACACCTACTAAATAGCTATCTCCTACCCCCAGCATATTAGGCACAACCAGGAAACAGAAGATTATTGTTCCCGCCACGGGCTTCCATATAATGGCAAACACGGACATGAGGATTCGAGGTCTTTCGTGCCGGCCTTGACTTCCGAATCCCGAAACGCTAACGCACCCATGTGGGCAAGTTACATTGGAAGAAGTAAGAAATATTATAAAAATAACACATTCGAAGAAGATAAATGTAATACACATGTTAATAACATAAGTGTTACAATATTATCACATGTTAACACGAAATTTTACGGCATATATTAGTCATTTATAAAACAAGAGAAGACATATTCACTAACCTTGTTTCCGCGTTGGCCGAACAGCTGTATAAGCTGCGATTGTGAACGCCGGACTGCACGACTCGTGGTGCTATCTGTTGGAAGGTTGGTAGCTACTGGACCTGATGGTGGGGAGAACGGACGCCTTGGGAGGCGTGGCCTACGCTCGGCGCATCGGCCGCTTGGCGCTGCCGGCAACTACCGGCACCGACCGCTGTGAAGAAATTGCTATTTCCATTCAAACAAGTTCTGTAGCTTGAAAACAAACAAGTTAACATTTCTTCCCGAAGGTAGAGGTATGCGTCCATCAGTATCCTTTGTAACAAAGATGACTCAAATTTCAAGACCACTATATCTCGTTATTTTGGAACCATTTTGTTATTCTTCTTTCTCAGTTAAATGTGGGGGCCAAAATTTATCGAAATCGATCAATTATCGAAATTTATCGAAGATTTTGTTGCGTACTATATTGAAGGAGGAAACGGATATATTTAAACCTTAACGATTTAATAAATTCCCAAGCTCACAAAGGACTACGGTTAAAAATTGAGTTTAGAAAAATTACAATATGATTCATATAAACTGTAAGCGAACTCAACGAAGACAGCTGTACTAAGTAATAAGTAAATGATGTCTACATAATTCATCGTTTCAAATTGCCGCTGTTATGGAATACATTTGCTTTTGCTTCCTCCAGATGGCAGTAGTTGCACTTTCAGCGGCAGGGGAGATCCACACATGCGCACGGTGCTTGGGGGAGGGGGAGATGAGAGTGGAAGTGGCTGGCACGGCAGGGGAGGCAGGACTTGTAGACGATGTTTTCTATTTTTTGTTTCTGATAGATTGCCTATAAACAAAGTGTTCATGCCAAACAATGATCAAATTAGTTATAAAATGAAGAATACTCGGCCAATATAAAGTTGGAAGTAAAATATCCTCGTTTGTATGACAGACTTGTACAATATCGGAAAATGTGCCTAGTGACGAAGAATATGTGTATTAATTGCTATTTTTGCTCAAGTAACAACTTGTGGAAAAGATATTATGTGGGAAGCGTGGCAACCTGAAGACTGAGGTTAGTAATGATAATGTTTATTTCAATATAATTTGATATTCAAAGTTACATAAGCCTTTCGTTCAAGCAGTTTTCGTTTACAAAACACGGATTGGCAATAAAAATTTAGGTATGCAAAATAGAAATGATATTTCTAATTATATATTAATGTTCGAGTTAATGATCTGTATTATCATCTCTGAAATGATTTCATATTCATCTTAAAGATATTACCAATACATAAATGGTCATTCCGGATCCTATATTTTTTTTATTTCCATTTTTGAAAGAATCAAAAAGAGAGTTTGGAAATTTTTTTCATCGATTTTCGCCTATTTTTTTCATTAATTTTGTAATTTGATTTTTTAATGAATGATTATAATTGTTCGCGAATGAACTGCGCTGGTGAAACGTTCGTAATAATGCGATGTGTAAAAATGTTCTAAGTTGCGTACATATTAAAATTTATCAAAATGATTATTTAAATAAGGGAAACAGAATTTTGAAAACTACTTTTGTTGTTATATACGTAAAATAACTGTAAAAAATAGTTTGTTTAAAATTATCTACTTATATGTGATATGTTGTTTTTATTTAAAAAATTGAAAAGTGATGTCTAATGAAAATGATAGAATTGTAACATGCACTTAATCGTTTCTCCGTGTACCTTATAACAAATTGTCTACTTCTAGCCATTACAGCAATTAATTTCAAAGTTTAAAGGCGCTACAACCTCCCCTCTTCAGAGAAGATTCCATAAATTTGATAAATCGTAATATATATATATATATATATATATATATATATATATATATATATATATATATATATATATATAAAAATTTTGAGATGGGTAAATAGCTAATAGGCCCTAGCCTCTGTTACGATTTTGGACAGTGACGTGCCTGTATCACTCAATTCCGAACCGTCACTTTCACTATATAACGAGGATGACTCCTCATAGCTATTATTTGCTCATAGTGCGGAAGTGTAACAATTGGAAATATGTACACCCCACGTATACATACATATCGCACATTGGAAATGCTCGAAGTAATTTTATATTCACTTTTTAAATAATTTACATGACCTGAATGACAGAACTCACTATGGAGAACGAATTTTATTTTAAGGAAAAATCTATCTTCAATTTTGTACTTGTAGGAAACGCCCGACAAATTTTGACAAATTTTCAAAAATTCAGAGTTAGCAGTGAAAGTCGGACATATGCCACTTTAGTAAGGGTATTTTAATCTATTCTTACAAGAAATTTAAAGAAAATATTTGAGAAAATTCTGAAAATGTCAGGGGGGCTTCATGTAAAGTAACCAAAAAATGTAATTAATGTAAAAAAAAGATTTTTTTTTAAAATCTCCAAGCTTCGATTAGAACAGGGACGGGGTTTCTTCAATTTGAAAAAAAGGTTACGTATGGTGTAGGTGCTTGTGGTGTTGACGGACGGAATGGCGGACGGACGGAATGGCGAGCGGACGGACGGAATGGCGGACGGACGGAATGGCGGACGGACGGAATGGCGGGCGGACGGAATGGCGGGCGGACGGAATGGCGGGCGGACGGAATGGCGGGCGGACGGAATGGCGGACGGACGGAATGGCGGACGACCGGATATTTGTGGGGCACCGCCCAGACTGGACAAACTCTAAGCTCCCGATATGTGGGATAATGTAATGCATTTTAAGTGTAAGTATGGGATGAGGATAGGACAAGGAAGACGAAGGAAATATCGCGTGTGGTCAGTGACCTGTTTGTTCATCTACCGCTCTGGCATTCGCCTGATGTTGATCGGAGAAACCACAGAAAACTTTCGATCAAGAGCAGCCGGTTGTGAGAATTCTCCTTCGGATAGCGGCTGAATTCAACCTAGCTGTCCAGCCAGTGTCGAAAATCCTGCCACCTTTGAGATTCCATCGCAGGACCTTCTGGTCAGATGCACTGGAGTGACATTACTTGCCCTGAGCCATCTTTGCCAGTGATTGTGTTCGAGAGGTCCACAAGAGCAGAAATATTCTTCGTTAGTTTGTGAATGTTTTTACAGTTCGTTTTGTTAATTAAATCAATTATCCGCGTTTTCATTCCAAAAGCACGGCGCAGAAGACTTTGTCACTCACGTTCGATCTAAATTTAGTACGTCTCTGGTATTCTTCTCGACATCACGAATCTCTATATTTCGGAATATTCGATAACAAACTTTTTTCTTCTTTTGAGGTCTAGAAAATAAATATTTTTCTCTTTAATGTTGCCTATCGGCATCGTAGCCGTAGAGCATGGCTTCTTTCATTTTCGAAATTCGTCGCTCCTATACCAAATCGGATCTCCTTGTACTTTTCCATGGCACGATGAGCCGCTGATGATCCCGAGTCATTTGTGTACCCGGAAACACACGCTACAGTCCCCGAACTTACCTTGGGAAAAGATACGCAAGCCCAACCACAGCAAGACTCCCGCTTTTCATATATGTCAATATCTCGATTTTTATGAAAGTGGCTTATCTCAATATTTATAGGAATTGTTCCATTTATGAAGCGCTAGGGCCAATCACTGCCCTCCGGGCCAGTTCCCGTAGATACAGTGTAGACTAGACGAGTTCTGGCCCTTCGCAAAGGTTGCGAAGCCTTGCGGTACAGGAGCCAAGCGACTATTACAAGCGCCCAGTGAGTGGGCAGGCGAAGGCTGGGGTGGAGCGGGGATATGCTAGGCGGGGTGGTGCCAAGGGCGCCTGAATCCCGTGATGTCCCTTCTCCTCCCCTCCGTCTGGTGGCAATTAAAATCTTTTAAGCGCCTCCTTGAAATTTGTCCTGTGCAACACTGACGTCGACAAAGGGGGGGGGGGGACAGATAATGGGGCTAGAGGTGTCTTGATCGCAGCAGTGTAGAGTTTAATTTTACCCAAGCGTAGGTGTACATATGTTTTATTTTAAAATGCAAAATGTAAAAATCAGACATTAAAATAATGCAATAAAATTGATTCAACCCAAAATCATATTCATTTAATTGAAAATCTTCAAACTATGAGTGAAATTATGTTAAAATATTAAGAAAAGTCTGGTGTAAGAATATTAGGGAAAGGGGGTGTACCTCGGACCCATTATGACGTTTGTATTTCTAATCTAACTGTTTCTGGATAATAATTGACCGGAATATTTTTTATGGGTACTCTTAGAGTTTTATACACTACACATATGTTTCCATGTATGTATTCTTACATAATCATTGATTTATTTGCAAATTTAAAAAGGGTGTAATTAGGACCGAGGTACAACACAGATGTTGTACGTTGGACCGTTCATAATTATGTTGGGAAAATTACAACTTACGAGGAAGAACAAAGTTATTTATTAACTTTTAAATAAACATTGTCTTAAGACGAAAAAAGGCATAATTAGCATTTTCTTGTGAACACAGTCTAAAGTCAATTTTCAAAAATTAGTTTTAAAAAACACTGGATAAATCACTTTCAAATGTACTCTTTTGAATCTGTTGAACTGATTCTCCAGTAGGAAACGGATGTGAAAGCTTCATTAAGTCATCATTCTGATCGACTGCATATATGGTAGTATCTTTCTTCGTATATTTTTGAATATTCAGCTCTTTTTTTCATTTCTTGCATGTCGTAATTTTAATCTGAAAAAAATAATAAATTATATGATATTAGTAATAAATAATCACATAAATTGTAATTTGTTTTATCAACAGCAAAGCTATGACTTTTTCAATGCCCTCCTTTATTACAGGTTTTGTCTTGACACAGATTGAACTTTGTGGCATTTTGTTTTTTCTCATTATAAACTTTTCAAAGTATCGGTATTTCACAATTTGTTGTAAAGCTAAACGTAAATAGATTACATTCAATAGAAAATACTATAATTTGGGAAGTATTGTACGTCAGACCTGTCCAAGGTACAACACATCGTCACATTTAAGTGCGTGTCATTTTGCCATTTTTAGGTGAGAATAAGCTTCTTTTCAAACACGTTATTCTGCTCGTAAAACAATACGAAATCAGGAATAGCTTTAATTTCAAATGTGATATTGCGAATTTTTGCTCTATAATTAAGAGAAACTAATAAATATTTACTTTTGACAGGTGATTTTACGTTGTTAATAACTTCTACTGCCGCCGGTTTGCCAAATAAACAAATTCAACTACACGGAGACAACTATTGACAGTTTTATGAACTATATATAGTGGTATTCATATATCTCGCTGAGTAGAGCTAAAATTAACGTAGATCCACGGTACAATACAGGAAACACAAGGAACACAACAAAGAAGTCATGTTCCAATTAGTAGGCCGATTAGCTTATAAACCGTATGGTCTTCTATTGATTTGCATGGAATGCATTGCTATTTGAGACTGGACTGAGGCAATATTGTAATTCTTTCCTATACGTCATACACATATTTTGAATGTTTTGTGATGTAAATAAATGAATAACATATTCGCCAGAGATAAAATCTTTCAATGTTCTTCAATATTGTATTGAGTTAAAGTGAAATGTCCTGCTCGTGATGGTGTAGACCAGGCCTGTCCAATGTACGCGCTCCCTGAGCCGTCTTGGGGATTGCGAACACCAACATGCTCCGTGCGCATTTCGCAAAACGACGAAATAAACTCAGGTTAATCAATGAATAATGAAAACGCGTTCTGAAAAAAATATTAATGAATTTTTAGCGACTTACATAACTATTCATGATCTACTTTGCACACAATCTACTTTTTTTCAAAGAATTACTATTTATATTGAATTACTATATACATTACATTTTATACATATTTACATCGGAATGTAGATTTAAGTTGTTGGTTGCTGCTAGGAATTGGACTGATTTTAATGAATCATCAGACATATTGTGTGGCTGTTTTTATTCAGCTTCGTTACGAAAAATATGCTCACAAATGACTAGAACCAACTCTCAGAGAAACAATAAATAATAATTCAGCATTTACGCGTCACAAGGCGAGCGCAATCTTCTCCTTCCGGGAGTACCCTCTTTAATT